TATATTGTGTATGTGTGCAAGGTTTATTTTCTTAATTATCCTATCAAAACATTGCATATGGACAATATAAAAGAATTTATATCAAAGTCTTTTTAAGACTATTATATTACAACAAGAATTGAATTGATATATTATACTCTATATGAATATGTTCAAAATGGACTCATAGAGTCATTTATAAAGTATATACAATTCATTATCCAACCTTTCTTTCTTCAAGAAAATTTACCTACATCTATATGGAGTCATACAATTTTATATGATATAGCATTAATATGCCATTGTCCTTCTTTTCTTGAAATTATTACACCACAAGAGCTTATTTTAAGATATGTTCCTAATGTATTTTACATACAAATGTTTCATTGCCATGTTTGGATTCCAATACCAAAACCTCAATGATATACCATTGAAGTTCATTGATGAAAAGGCATATATATTGATTTTGATTCACCAAGTATTATTCATATTATTAATCTATCAACTGGTATATTATTATGTGCACGTTTTTAAAATGTCCTTTTTGAAGAGAATGTATTTCTATCTTTTTAAAGACAAGTAACTAATCAATAAAAAAAATATAGTACTTATATTTAGAGTACTAAAAATATTTACAATGAATCTTAATCCTCAAATATCTTTAGGTAAAATTAAAGTTGTCAAGATTTTATATTTAAAATGGATTGCAGATCAAATACCTGATGGTTTCAATGATGCGGCTTAGATTACAAGAGTTTCTATTAATGAAGCTTAGAATACACTTGTTTAGATTATCATACTACTAACTAATATACCTCAAGTTATAACATCAAAAATTAAAAGGACTTGTAGATCAAATAAGCAACCATGTAAGAAGAAGGCTATAACATGTATTAATTCTAATATTTTTTTCTATAAAAATTCTTATTAAACCTACGGGACCATTAGTTAATGATGATATGTTGATGCAAATTATATCTTCACCTCATGAAATAGAAAATCTTAATATTAGGAAGAATAAAATTAAGTTGAGTACAAAATTATTTATTCTATATTGTGCTACAAATAATATTTGAAATAGACCATCTATTAAAATAAATAAATTATTTACATGCATGATTGCAAAAGCTCTTTCTTATAAGAAAGAAGATCCTAAATTTCAAACTATTAAGGAAGGGATGTATTGTTCTGACTGCTTAAAATGAAAAAAATGCCATTGAGGAGGAGTATGCCTCTTTGCATAAGAAGAAAGTCTTTAGTCCAATTGTAGACACTCTTACATCTTGCCTTGTAGAATATAAGATAGTATTAGTATATAAGTAAGATGCTAAAGATCAAATAATCTGCTATAAAGCTCATCTTGTTGTCTAAGGATTTATTCAACTATTTGACATTGATTATGAATCTATATATTCTCTAATCATCAATTCAATTACATTCTAATGTCGTATCATGTAAAGTCTTGCTTGAGAATGTACCAGGCACTTGGTTGTAGAAAATAGAATAAAAATTGTAACAATAAAATCTTAACTCTAATAAAATATTAAATAAATTTTAATTAAACTTTAATAATACTAAACAAGCTTTAATCGAATTCTAAAGAAACCTTAAAGAAATTACAAAAGAAAAAATAAGAAATCTTAAAAGAGTTCAAAAGAAATCTACTATAAACTTTAAAAGAATCTCTAAAAAATCTTAAAAGAATATTAGAATAATAACAAATATATCTTAAATAAATCTCAATAAAATCTTAATTTAACACAAATTGAAATCCTAATGGATTTAAATCAAACCTTAAGCCAAATCCTAAACCTAAAACAAATTCTAAATTCTAAATCCTTAAAAAATCCTAAATCTTAAACAAATCTTAAATCCTTAATCTTAAATAAATCCTAAATCTTAAATCCTAACTGAATCTTAAATCCTATATCCTAAGAAAATTCTAAATCAAATTCTAAATCCTAATTTAATCCTAAATCCTAACCAAATCTTAACCAAATTCTAAATCTTAATCCAATCCTAATCCTTAGTCAAAATCTAACTAACTCAAACTAATTCTAGTTCAATTTAGAACCTCAATATCTATTGATTAAACTATTGATCTTGCTTAAAATTTTATATACTTCTTAAAAACTAAACTAACAATAAATATACAAAATTTGAAGATAATTACACTTACCAAATAGAAGAAAAATCCTAAAATCCACTTGGGTGTTGGCTGGTCTCGTACTCTAATTTGAATGTTGAATTTTTAGTGCCAATATCTCTTTTTTAAATCGTTTAATTATTTTCAAATTTCATATATATGTAGAAAATCAATTCTATTATCCTTAAACATAAATTTTACTCCAATCCAAGTGGTAGATTACTGAAGATCTTAGAAATCCTAACTGCCCCTTAAAGTCCAATATCCAAGACCTCTACCTACTTGAAATTCAATTACCTTCAATTCAACCATTTGATGAAGCTCAAGCTTACAACATAAACTTTAAATAAATAACTACATAAGTCTTCAAAATTTGAATTATAGATCTACTACCAAACTTACGAAATTCTCCAAAATCTAATATCCTTTTTATTTCTTAAATTCCAAAATCACCCAAAATTGCTATGACTTTGCAAAGTTCTTACAAATTCATTACACATTCAAATCTTTCAAAATCAATGCTTAAAGAAACCTTATTAAGTTTTTTCTCAAACTCCACTCTCTAATCTACCAAAGAACCTTGGAATTTCCATAGGTACTTAATTTTGTGCCTTGGAATCTGATTTTGACCCAAGTTGATAACCGGTCCTCTTCAAATATCAAATTTTTTCTTTTTGAATTGATTTTTGCTAAAATCAATTCTTAACTTCTTCTTAAATATAATCATATTCTTTTTTTTTCTAATTTATCTTATTTTGCCTTATTTTTGGCCTTACAAAATAAATAAAAGCCCACTTTATAAAAGATATCATTTACATCTTTAGTTTTATTTTCTTTTGGACTATTTTCTATCTTCTAGAATAATTTGCTACAATATTTAAAGTAAGATCTTCTATAATATAATAATTTCTTTATTCTTTTCACTTATTAGTTGTTTTATATCATAATACCAATATATTATTGGAATAGGAGTCCATCCTACTCTTGAAATGCATCTCATGGGTAAAATAATTGCATATTTGTATGGTTCTCTTAATGAAAGTATTTATATGAAAATTCTACTTGGTTTGAAAACAAGAACTCTAAATGCACTTGCTTTAGGATGTTATTATGGTATTAAATTACATAAGGCCATATATGGTCTAAAACAATCTAGATGCATATGGTATCAAAGTCTCCAAATTTATTTAATTACAAATAAGTATGTAAGTGATTCACTATTTCTTTGTTTATTTATCTAACATGATAAAATTGGTTTTGTAATCATCACTATATATATATATATATATATATATATATATATTGATGATTTTAATTTAATACATATTAGATCTGTATATATTACAGCTATTAATCTATTTATCCAAGATTTTGAGATGAAAATATTAAGAAAAATAATTTTTTATATTAATCTTCAAATTAAACATCTCATGGATGGTAGCAATTTTTTCTATCAAGTAATATATATTAAATAAATCTTATAGAGATTTAATATGATTGATACTTATCTATTATCAATACCAATGGTTGAATGTGGTCATGATGGTAATAATCCATATTATCCATGCGATGAGGAGGATGAAATATTAGAAGATCAATATTCATACCCCATAGCAGTTGGAGTATTTTTATATTTAGCTACATCTACAAGACTAGATATTACATTTGCAATTAGTGTTCTTATAAGACACACTACACGTTCAACACTACAACATTGAAATGGCAACAAATATTTATTATGTTATAAAAGAAAACATTGAAGACTTGGAAATATATTATACATAATTTATAAATCTAAAATTAGATGGATATTATGATGGAAGATATAAATCTTATATTGCAATAGCTAAATCTCAAACAGGCTATGTATTCCTAAGACATAAAGGAGTAATATCATAGAAATCAGTGAAATAAATTATAATTGCAACTTCATTCAACCATGCAAAAATTATTGTCTTACATGAAGCATCTCAAGAATGTACTTAGTTGCAATCAATTGATAAACTCATTTAGACAATCTATGGACTTTTATATGATGATTTTCTAACTATTTTGTATGAAGACAATAGTACTTATCTTACATAGATGCAAGTTGGTTTCATTAAAGGTGAAAAAATAAAGTATATGGATCCAAAATATTTTAGTTATATCTATGATTTAGTTATTGATCAAGCACTTAAGATCAAGAAAATTGAGTCTAGAAATAACCTTGCTGATCTCTTCACCAAAGCTCTCTCTTTGTGCAACCATTGTTGACTTACTTATGGCATTGGTATAGAACGACTTGCTTTTCTTGAGCAAGAAAGTTAATGTATTCTTTAAATAATTAAGAAAAATGATGTATTCTTTTTCCTTTGTCTATGGTTTTTGTTCTTGAATACAATAAGGTTTTTCTAGATAAGGTATTAATGAGGCAAGAATTGTTGATCATGCGAGATTATAGAAAAGTATAGATCATAATTCTATGTAAATTTTATATTATATAAATATTATGACAAGTAGGGAGGGGTGTTGAGAGTATTAAATGTAGCTCGCATTCTTCATAACATTCACTATAGTTACAATAAATATTATATCTATAGTCTTTAGAATGTAGTAGGAAAAAACTATTTATCTTCTCTTCTTCTCTTTGTATACAAGTGAGAAAACCACATCATTACGCAATTTTTTTTTAGAAGCTCTCTCTTGTGTGTGTGTTTTTGTGCGTGTACACATTACTTCTAGCTAGTCTTGTGTCTCTCTAAAAACATTCTCAACAAAAATAAGCGGCTGCCTCACCGACCGAACCCTTGCCCGAACGGCAATGGGTCCCGAGGCGGGCCCACGGTGGTTCGCCAGGACCCGCTGACGCCCAATGCTCGTGGGCTGTTACAGGAGTCCGGCAAGGAGGCCTCAGTGACGAGCAGTGGCGCGTTGTGTCGCGTTGCGTTGCGTTCGGATCCGAACGCGAGAGATGGACGACAGGATTATTGTTCTGGTGGAGGCCTCGATCACAGCATCAAGGACCAGCTCCTTCCGCGATCATTCATGTCACCATTCTGTGAATTTATAGTTCATTTGATATCATTTGATCTCATTCAGGAATCAAGTGGCGTTCATTTGCTTCATGCGGGCGCATGCTCAGAATGGGATGAGTCGAGGATTAAGGGCGAAATAGGGCGAATTAGCCATCGCCGCCTGAACGACGACTTGAAGGATATCGCTCTCCTGTCAGCTTCGCCTAATTCTGTCACCTCCTGGGTAAACCTAAGCTCTGGAAGTGTATTCAGAAGGATTTTATCAATGTAGGTCTGATTTGCCTCTACTTGTTCAGGTTCGCGGCGATTGATATTACTTCTTTGATTGATTCTGCATTGCAATGTGGTCATGATATGTGTCTCGGAGGTTTGCTTTTTTAGAGGAGACCCGCGCGTTGCAGAATTTCGACAACTTTATTAACCCTATTCTTCGTTGCAAGCAGTGAGCACGACTGTCTACACGCTGAAAGTTTCATGAAGGAAGGGCTGATTGAGGAGGATTGTAAGAGTTCTTGTTCTGATGAAAGGGGTGATCCGAAATTTGAAACAATCAGCTGAGCCGTCTTCGGTAGAGGAATTTGGTGAGATACAAATTTTCTTCTAAAAACCGCGTATACACGTAGGCCTCCATTGGTAATTGAAGAGTTAAGAACCCTGGATTTGAGGTTTAGGGTTTACTGTTGTACTTAATGACTTGAATGTTACAATTTCATTTTTCCGGTACGTAGCATTGCAGCAGAGTAGGAGATTGGTTATAATCAGAGTATTAGTGGCAATTCAGATCCGGAACAGCTCTACAGTCTTGATACACAGCTACGGAAGTTTATCTAAGCAAGACTTCAAACTGTGTAAGAACATACCTTAAGTGTCCCTGAATAGTGCAGCTTTAGTAGCTAGAGCGGGTGCAGAACATACAAATACTGCACTGCAACGTATATGTATGAATATGACGCGTGCAAGCGCGTTACGTGACGCAATCAAGTGCTTTGTGTAGGGATATCAAGAAGGGGTTGCCAAAGTGATGACCAAAAACTCTCAAGAAGAAGCTGCAGCCAGTAGAAGATCCAAGTAACGTGAGGAGGAAATGATAAGATCGTGCTTTGTTAGGGGAGTTGTGAAGGACGAACTGCCACTTGAGAAAACACTAATATAACAGAACATGGAATAGCCTTATTGTAGACGTACTACATCAAAGCGAGAAGAGGTTCGTTCCGAGTGGAAGTGTTGTATTTGCTGCATTAGATTTCTGTATGCGCATCGGAACCTGAAACTCCGTGAGAGGTTAGACATAGTGTTTTGTGGAATTCAGGTGAAGTTCGTGATTCATTTTTGGTTGCAATGCGGTGAAACGCTTGACAACCCGATTTTCAAGCCGCCTCTTGCATCGCGGCTCTATCACAGTTGCTGACATTGGTGGCCTGTCAGGATATCGGGTAGCAATCATGGAAATGGCGGCTGTAACTGTGCGCGCGAAATTTTTGGCCAATCCGAAGGACGTTGGCGTACCGGGAGTATTGATGATAAATGTGCAGGGACTAAAATGGACTCCGAATGATCCGACTGCGGGGACGGTCCTGGATGTCAAGTCCTCTTTCATAACCTCGCATCAATGTAGCAAGGAAGTCCCCAACAAGAAAGCGTTCATGAAAGTGACCACTGATGTTGAGGGCAGATCTTACATGTTCGAGTTTCAGAACTATGCTGAGCGAGCACCGGCGCGTGATGCTTTAAGCAACGTAATAGCAATGAATAAGGCTGGGGCCGGAGGCTCTGCTCCAACCCCGGCGTCTGCGTCCACTGCAGCATTGGTGAAGCCGGCGTCTAGTGGGGACCAGTTGGACCCTGCCGAGATGGGACGAAGGATGAAGCTCTTGCAGCAGGACCCAGACCTGCTGAAGCTTCATCAACAGCTTGTTGGTGGGAATATCTTATCAGAAGTTGATTTTTGGGCAACTCGGAAGAACTTGTTGGAAGACGAGCAGAGTGGAGTGCAGAAGCAACGGACAGGACTCAGAAGTGCCATGCTTGCAGATGTCCGCCCACTTACAGACGGAAGAACGAACAAGGTCACGTTTAACCTCACTCCAGAAATCATTCACCAGATCTTTGCAGAAAAGCCTGCCGTCCACCGCGCGTTTCTTGAGAAGGTTCCCTCGAAAATGACGGAAAGTGCATTTTGGACCAAGTATTGTCGGGCCGAATATTTGTACAGGACCAACAACCGCGCCGCAGCGCTAGCGGAGGCTGCCGAGGATGAGGATTTAGCCGACTTCACTAGGGATGACGATATTATTGCCAAAAGTGTCAAGCACAAGATTCAGAGGGTAGATCCTACGCTGGATATGGCAGCCGATTTGAACGATGATTACCTTTCTTTACCAGGACACGGAGTGCTTCGAGATGGAGCTAAAGAAAGTGTGGAGATGATCGAGGGTGGTAATCGAACTCGCACTATTATTCACGACATTAATCGCCATGCCGCCGTTGTTCTTGAAGGAACTCCTTTGGATACGGAGTTAAAAGATACGACCACGGTGGCACACGCTCTGGAAAGGGCACGACTGAAAGATGCTACTAATGAGGTAGCAGATCGGGGTGCTGACAAGCGTAGAACGGAGAGGATCATCAGTATGACAGAAATGGAAGATCTTCAGGGGCCTCCCAGTTCATCTTTTGTCCCTCTTACCATCCAAGATCCCAGAAAATATTTTGATTCACAGCAGGCCGCAGGGTTCGAAGAAGGAAGCGCAACTGGGCTGACTTCCATGTCTGCTGATTCAGCTACTTTGTTAAGTGTTTTCAAATCACAACTAAATAATTTTCAGGCTGGAAGACACAGGGACCCCGCAATCGCACCTGATCTAGCGTTCAAGATACTTACTGACGTCACCCAGCACATTGCAAGTTCGAGACATACCACGGGTACTGCAGCGGAGCGAAATATTTTAGACAGTTTGCCAAGGGCCACAAGAGACGAGCTTATGCAGCACTCCAACACTGCGAACGAGCTGCTTCGTCACTTCTGGGCTGCATACCCTCTGACGAACAAAGTACTAGCAGAGAAAGCAACCCGGTTGAAAGATGCCATGGCGCAGTTGTACAGTCGTATACAAAGTATGAAGGAGAGCGCTCCAGCTGATGTTCGGCATCAATTATCGAGGCTTCTGCAGCCGCTCTTTCAAACATTAGATGCTGCGTTTTCTCATTATGAAGGGGAGGCAGCCAAAAAGGCAGAAGCTGTAAAGAGAGCGAGAATCGCACAAAGACCCAATTTAAACATTCCTTTGGATGAAATGGCCAGCTAACCTCCTTAGCAATGAGAGCTTCAATTACGTCGATATATGTCATCTTGATATCCTGAGCGTCATACCGGGTTTAACACTTTTTTCAGACAAGCTGTCGGATTTTCGATGCGGCTATCCTTCAGCAGCTGAAAAATGCTCAGGAACAGATTGACGGAATGTAGAGAAATCCTATTTCTCAATGGATTGGCAGTATGTCTTATAATCCTCCAAGAACATTTTGAAGGCTTTGAAAAATGGGAATTTTATTAAATCTTTTGAACTAAATCGAAGGCATTTGAACTGTTCTGACTTATATACGGTCTTGATACACGAATTATAGCTGGGAGTAGGGAGTATTTTGATTCTGAACGGATCAGGTAGACGCTGCAGTCTATGTTTGCTTGTGGTGTTGAACCGGATTGTTTGTATGAGATATATTAGTTGCGTATTCTGAGTTAATTTTCGTGTTGGTGCAGTGGCGAAATACAGTTGAATATGAATATTCCAGAATCAGTTTAGTCAATAGTTTAGTCAATGGGTGCTGCTGCTTGTGAAGTTTTCGTAAGAGTGTACGACGTGAAAAAGTCATTTGTTTCGGGTGCTTATGAGTGAAAAAATACGTCCTGGCTAATGTCTATTCTGTTTCTAGAATTTCACGTACTAGTGTGACTAAGAAATAAATTGGTACACGATCTGGAGGTCAAGTGAATAGGGGATCAGTCGCACAAAGAACAGCATCGATACCAGGTTGTTTAAATGGAAGGCATTCGAATTTTCAACTGAGACATTATTTCAAGCAGGTCATTGTGTACTCCAATTTGTAAGAAACGGTTACTTGAATTGACGAAGTTTCGAAATGTACGTACTCTTCAATCATGTTTTGAACTGTACAGATTTCATGCAAGGATCTGGCGAACGTTTTTCTACACTTCTGTTCCTACGGTATTTCTATATATCTATTATCTCAAACCACCCTCCCCACTTTGGCAGGTCTTTGAAGGGAACTGGCGCCTATCTTCCTCTTAGTCTCAGATGGGGTGCTCTGCATCTTCCGCAGTGATTGCAAGAGGGAATCATTCTTATCGTCAGTATTTTGCTTACTGTCTACCACCTTGGCAAACGGATTACTAGGCTTGAAGCTAGATAGGGACACAAATGACACTTTTGGTGGAGTGCCAGCTTTTAAAGACCCATCTGAGGGCCTTACTTCGGTCAAGTCATGGGCAGGATCCGCAGTTACTCTCTTGTGAGATTTCTTCAGTATTGATCGAAATTCTGATCTAGGCTCGGCTGTTGACGTATCTGCGGTGGCACATGTGGTAGGGGCGGCACCCTGGCTATCCCTGTCTGAGCTATTAATAATTGCCGTCTTCAGTGCAGACAGCTGAGGTCGCGGTGGCTCAGCCAACGTATTGACTAGTTGTCTAGACGTAGGAGTGTAAGCAGAAGATGTAACTTGAGCCTGCGGCTGACGTGTATGTGCTCCAAGGTCTTCGGCTCTCTCTCTGGCACTTTTTTCCTGTCGATTGCAATTCATATATCTTCAGTATAGGGCTATTAAACAGACTTGCAGGGTGCTAAACGGATTATCAACAATAGCTTGAATGACAACTTGCTGCTTGAAGGATTTATGGACAGCGAAAAATCAACCAGTAGTGCAGACCTCAAGGAGCTGATTTATCCGCTCTGCCAATGACGGTAACCGCATGGCAGTTACAAGTTTGAGGGCTCCTTCCATCGATTTGTGTAGTGATAATTGGCTGGAAAGCTCCAAAGCTCTTGCAAGCTTATCTCCTGGGAGAGTAAGAGAAGAAACTGTTAGTGTAGGAACTAGTTTCAAGTGTTCCATGGAGTGATGTCTTCTGCATGGTATTCGGCATGCAAGGGTTCAAACAATTGTATTCATAAAGGTTCACCACATGTAGTAGGCCTCCGCACAGTTAACTACAATACGTAGTGATAGAAGTGAATCCCTGTACCTTTACAACAGGAAGCAATTAGACGTAAGATACAACGATCGAGCTCCGCCTCCATCTCGAACACTGCTTCATCCGCTTCGTCGTCGTCACGCCCAGCTGCGGCTGCTTCATCAGCCCTCAACCGTGTCTACAGCGGTGAAGATAAGTTTAGAAGAGATCATACTGAGAGGAGATCAACCGTCATTGACTTAACTCTAGTGTTACAGGGATACGCACCATGGAAGCATTACCAACTTGTTTATCATCTTTCTGCACTGTCCTGTCCCCAGCTCCCATGAAGGGATTCGGGAAACACGACCTCTCACACACCTTCGAAGAGCAGCAGTAGAGAATACGGAAGTACGGAACAGAGCTTAAAGGCATGAGGTGAATACGTACATGTGTGAGATGCAGTGTCCCTCTTAGTAAGTCACTTTCTAAATCATCAGCTCCTAGGTCGGAGTGCACCACAGGAACGGATGTGTTGATGATGCTCATCACCGGCTTCGGCATAACCTGTTCCAGAAGCAGGATATGAGATTGCCTCCAAATTCATAACCGCAAGATATGAAACTCATGACTCAATCACTATTACTAAGAAGAGGTGACAAGTTGAACACGGGCAGCACCATGTTGCGATATGAATGTTCCAAAGCCGGGCGTGGACGTGTGCGTTGATTGCTTTAGGAGTATGACAAGCTTGAAAGGAGTTATAAATAACGCATTGGAGTTTAAAATGATTACCTGAGGTTGAGATTCAGGTGCCTTGCAAACAATGCAATAAACCTGTGTGGTGTTCAGTCCGACCACCCAGTAGGTCTCATTTTCCTTCGTCCTTTCTGCAGCAGCACTGTTACACGGTCCACATGTACATTCAGTAACTGATATTCACCCTTCTAGGATTAGTATAGTTGAATGCCATTAAAATATGTTACTGAGTGAGCGGAATCACGACGGTGGTGATCACCTGAACACTGGTATCCAGCAACCGTTGAACTCGCTGCTATAAACACGAAGCACTCCCTGGAGCAGCAAAAGGAAATTAGCACCTAACGGCAGAACAGGCGTGTGTTATGGAAGGCAGCTGGCATAGTTCAGGAACCAATCCTACTATCTCAATTATGTGCCGGTCAGGTAGACGAAGCACACACACCTGTGAGTCATAGGAACTCAGGGATCCAGCTTCTGAGAAGCCTATCCAAGTCAATGTGGACCCTGGACTGAGAGGAAGCCTGCCTGTGAGCAACCGTTTCTGTGTCCTCACGTTCAACAACATGAATTCCAACATCTGATCTCTTGAGGGTAGAGGGCTTGAAGCATGGGTAACGACGGCCAATCGGTCTCCATTCCCAACCAGTGAAACCACTGGGCCTCCCAGTGATGTGACGAATCTCTGCACACGGAAAAAATATCGTTAACCTTTGACCAATGAACGGGTAACTTGAGAAAGCGAGATCTCGAGAGAATTCGTTATCCAAGGCCCACGTAGACTCTCCAAATTAGGTTCAGGAACCATTTCACCGTTCCATAGTTTAACGGTTGAGGAAAGACTGGAGTAAGTCATTGACCTGCAACCCAGCTTCCGAGTAGACCCGAAGAAAATATTGACTGGTCACCGCTGCTATCCAACCAGTGCCTACCGCAACAGCTTTGACCTCCTCTTCCAAAGGGAACCGCATTGACCACTGCAAGTGCACCTCAATGTCAGTGAAGGAGATGAAACTTCGCAACAGCACGGTAAAATAACTTAAAATCAACGGGCTTGGGCTTGCGATATCTCTACTCCCGCTACAGGTGCGACTGCGCTAGCAACCGTGTGATTGATTGTCTTGGAGATTATTAAGAAGTATGTGTAGAGGAGATGGGCACTTAGCATGGTAGCGCATCTAACCTCACTATTGCTCGTCCAGCTGTTAAACGGACGATACAACATAGTGCTCGGCACATTTTCTCCTCTCTGCGGATTGGCGAAGACGCTGCCTCTCTCGTTCATTGCGGCCATGGTGAATCCAAAATAATCTGTCATGGAAGGCACGCGCATGCCCGAACTTGTGTCATGGAAATCCACCTGCCAATCATGTCAAGATCAGGAGATACCCATGCCAGCTAAATGCTGATGTTCAAAGTAGATCACATAGGACAAACTATCTCAGACGGAGAGGGGTAACCAAACAAGAGAACCCACAACCAGTGTTCACTACAAAGCACATATGAATGTCCTCAAAATGAGAAAGTCGTTGATCTCACCTCCACATGCGCAAAGCCGGCCTCTGTATCGACTCTAGTAATACTACCCAGCATGTTATAGGCTAAGAAGCGACTCCTTCCGTCGTTGGACTGCGTGCAACCGGGCTGGACAGGGGCTTGCATGGATGACCCAGCATGAGTCTGGCCGTCGAAGGAGCGGGACACACGTGATTGTCTAATTTCCCCTGGTGGGCTGAAAACGTCAATTGCCTCTGCTTCTCTGGAGATCCTAGCTTTCGGGGATGGCAGAGTGTCCACTTTCATGGTTCTCTCGGCCTTTTCAATCCTCACAGGAAGAAAAGGCTCATCCTCGTCATCACTGTCGAGACACGGTGCTCTAGGGACGCGTCTACCGACGGATAATTTCCTGGGAGGACTTGGTTCAGGAGGGGTTTGTTCGCGGCTATCTGAGTCAAGATCTGTAGAAGTCATGACAGGTCTCTCAGTTCGCTTGGGCACCATGTCCTCATCGTCGTCGCTCCAGGCGTCCAGCCTTCCTCTTAGTCGGGCAGTGTAGGCCTTGGGCGAAGATGAAGACATGGCTTTTCAACCAATTTACTCCTACTAACTCTGCAATCGCCCACCACTGGTAGACAATCAGCTACTCCAAATAAGCAGCAAACAACCTTCCAGAACACACTTCCTCCCTGTTCCCGCAAAACGTCGATTAGAACCAAAAAGACCCGAAATCTGAACGAGAAATTGCAAACATCACCCTTAACCTAGGTATCCCCGGCTCCCACAGTAGATCCTCAAAGGAGACTACGAATCAAGGTGTTCTAAGAAGATTTATCTCTATAACCCGAAACGAGTGCTGCGATGAAGGAGGGATAATAATCTCCAAGCCTACAACTCAAGTGTTACAATGCGACAATCTGCAACTCACACAGCAACTTGCATCAACACATATTCACTCAATCCAAGCAGAATTGAGAACGGTTTTCCCAGAGAGACACAGGAATTTGGCGGAGGGAAGGTGAGGAGAGTGGCGGGAAAGGACCAATACAAAGGCGGGAACCGTTCTGCTCATATTGGGTCCAACTAAGGCGGGAGAGGGCACCATTCATTCATCCATTCAATGACATGACAATCCTACAACAGCTCTATATCATGCCGTTGGAAGAACCCAAATCTAGGTGCTGACGATAACAGATCCGGTGAAATCCTGACATGGTTATAACCTGGTTCCGTTATTGATCCCCTTCCCAAACTAGCGGTGTCCACCAACAAAACGGATATCACAATCCAGTTATGGAGCCAAACCAGTAGTATTAGGTTGAGCCTGAGTTGCCAATTCTAGTTACTGGCTGTTGGCATCGAGTCTGGATCGACGGAGATGGAAGTATGATGTTGTGAAGAGTTTCGGAATTAGGCATGTTCTATTCCTCGGGGGCCAATTGAGGAGGTTTTTGTAATTTGTGGAACCCCTTCGTAGGGACTGAGTGTGTCCAGTGGAGGTCGGATTCAAGGATTTGGTGGCAAGTTTCTTGAGCTATGGCGATGGTCTCAGCCAACTCCGTTCGCTCAGTTTGTTCTGCAATTGCCACTCCTATAGCTAAGGTAGTTGGAAAGAGAGCTTCTTTTACTGAAGTTTCATGTAGCCTCTGTTTGCGGCCGAAAAAATACAGCAGAGTGGTGCTAAGGGAGATAGGAAATGGTAGTCGTGAAAGGTGGAGCTTGGAGAATGTGAGGCAATTGCGCGGACAAGTAAGAAGCGTGAATACGGTGAAAGCGAGCGCTGACGATGCGGATGACGTGAGTGATGAAGATGTAATTAAGGACATGGAGCGTTATCTCAATGAATTGTCTGTTGAGTATGAGAATGTTTGGGATACCAAACCTGCATGGTATGTGTAATCCGGCACGAATTTTTTCTTATTTTTATTCTCTTGTCCAACTGCTTATTGTCGCAGCTGAATAAATCGTGAAGACCCTGCGATGAGTCAGTAATTTTGTGAAAATTTGAAGCGACACAAGGTTTCCCCTTTCGGATGCTGCGAATCTGTTTTGGGGATACTTGTTGGGTTTTTCCGTTTTAGTTTGTATCTCGACCTAATTTTGCACTCGCACGACAGTAGACAAACGACGGGTCTACAAGGGCTTTGTGCAAATGTCTTGCTACTGCATGCCACATTTATTTTGCAGAAAATAGTCGCGAATGCGGTAACGAATGACTTGTTTTTTAATATTTATTTATTTTTTATCGTCTTTAGTGTGCATGGTTCTGTTCGTGATGTAGCAGTTTGCAGAAACGGTCAAGCTCACAACTTCTCTCTGTTTCCTTGTAGGTGCCAGCCATGGTCAATAGTTCTAACAGGAGTCACTGGCGTAAGTTTGTCGTGGTTAGCAATTAAGTCCACCATAGTGACCGGGGTTGTAACAGTTTTGGTAGCCGGATGGTGGTATGTATTCCTATACACATATCCTATGGTGAGCTCACATATCCTGCCGCACTCTTGGATTCCAATTCCTGCACTATTAATCTTGTGACGATGATCACGTTCTAGAGCTGATCATGGCGGGATGTTTTGCTTGTGACTCCTGCCTCTTGCACCTGCATTTGGTCCTTAATGTCACTGAAGATTCTTTTTTCTGTTTTCTTTTTTCTTTTAAACTTTTTAATGCATCCTGCTGTAAAAAACTGCAACTCATTGGTGTTGCGTTATGGGGATACTTAAAGTTCTTCGTTTTTGTTCAATTTAGGGTACAACTGGATTTGAAATTGTTTTACGGGTGAACTGAGCGAGAGTTGTGAATCACTCCGCTTATAGCATCTTTATTTGTACTTAACTGGTGAATTGTGGACCTTTGACAGGCTTATACTGCAATGATTGCGGAAAGGCGAAGGAATCAGAGGAACGGTACTGAAGATACTTACGGGTTGCGAACGAGAAAATAGTAGTCTCCCTTCTTATTCTTTAGCTTTTGTTGCCATTGTTGCAGCTTAAGTCCTGATTTCCCATCCGAGGTTTCTTAGTCATCATCTTCTTGATTCAATCATCTTGGAAAATTCGAATTTAGGATTTCTTCTGTTACTATGCTCTTATGGTTAACGCTGTATGAGCTTGTGAGTTACATACTGTGGAAAGCGTACGACATGAAGAGGGGAAACGTCTCAGCTGGAAACAGGCTTTAGCATTGTGCTTACACTATATCGAGAAATCTTCGATTGCCTTCTAACTTATTAGTATGTCCGCCTCGTGCCGTCACCTACTTTGTGCAGAGTAGTTGATGGCACATGGTAGTCCTAACGGACTGACTACCATGTGCAGTCCTTTCTCCTGCAATTAACGATGTTTCGTGGACAAAACTTGCTCCATGTTGTACACGGGACGAAAATGGCAGGTTCTATCACTTGGAATTCAGACATCGCTATGTTTTCCTTCAATACATGTAGACACCGATTTCAGCATATGGATCACTAGAGCTCTAGAGTCTCTGATGACTTTCCATGGACACGGTACGCTTGTCCTTGAAGTCAGGTGCAATTGTGACGTGCTGGGCGGTACTCTCCACTTTCGCCAGCAATAGCCCCAACTTCATGGTCAATGCTGGTAATGACTCGTGATACCCACTCCATTGTTGTCCTCTCAATCTCTTCATGTTGAATCATTGCCGGTCCCGCAATTAGGAAGCTGTCGCCATCCTGCAAATGCTAACTGGCGAACACACGATTTGACGTTGTTCGTATACTCCATTAAGATTCTTTGAGTAATTCGTGGACAAAACTCACCAGCAAAAGTTTTGCACACGATGGACTCAAGAGCGGTAAAATGTCGCTATACAAGTGTTCAACTTTCTTGAACTACTGAGCCAAAGTAGTGCTCGATCTACTGGTCTTTACTATTTCCGACGACAGTACCGTTGATATGTGTCCACAAAAGTTTTGCGCTGTGATCGCGCAGACACAAACGAATGTATATAATCAATATTCTCTTAAATTCAATAGTAAACCCCGAACATGAGCGATACAATGATAACTCTCTGACTTTCACCATTTCGTATCTGCCCGAGATGATAACCAGGAGATGTAAATGGGGTAAGATGTTCTCGGATATGAACTTGGATTGTTCTCTTCATTTCACTTTAAATATCTAATCCAGTTCCCTAAGTCGAAGTTCAGAAGCCCAAATTATACTCTAACTTTTCTTCCAAAGTAAGTGCGAAATCTCTTCACATTGCAATGCAGCTGCACTGCTGTCTTCAGGATGGGCGTCCGGGAGAATCCTTTCTCCCTGCCCTGCTCCCCTTGCGCTGACTTTCAACGCATCCTGATTTAATAATAGTTAGCAAGAATTTCGGTCGTTGATAACAGTAAATAACATTGAAATTCTGCTAAAATAACTGCATGTGCATTTAAGGAAAAAAGTAGAACGAAGGCAAGAATCCCTAACTCCCACATTAGATGCTGCTACCAAACCAGCTATACCACAAGCTATTAAAAGTGAATTTGGATCTCGGTTATTTATTCTCTCTCAGACTCACCAATTATATTATAAACCTGCACATTTCCTTATATACAATTAATTATTTATTTGTATAATTATTTATTTATATATTTATATAAACATATACCTTGAATTGGGATTGTAACTCGGAGTCAACATCCTTTTGGTGGAGAAATGCCTTCCACTGCACCAGGCACGCTGCATGCCTTTCACGCAAGCAAACTGCTCGCATTCACCCACGTTTTGTCGAACTTATTTGGAAATCGTACCAGGATATTCCGAAGTTAATATGGTAGTTCCTGTGAGAGAAAAATAAGTGTATTGAATGAATTTAGGTTTACCATGATCCGTTTAACACAGGAATTTATGGTTTGTTGCATCCTTAAAACTCGGCCGGGCTTTTGTAATCATGGTTCATGTACGTGAGATACCAACTTTTATAGCTTGATTCTAAATTTGGATATCCGGACACAAGTCCATAGCGAGGACACCCTCCGTAGGGTTTGGTAATCTCCGAAGTCCTAGTTGGGGCTTTTTTGTTTCTTTTTGTTTTTTTAACGATATGGGGGAGTTCCTGAGCGCATGATCGTCTCCTGCGTCGACGGCGCGGAGTGGAAACATTGAGCGAATATCACGTTCGAGATCAAAGCAAACAAATGCACATCTCATGAATGTAGAGCGGCGTTTGTGAGAAGATCGGATGAAGCATATTCACTCCCAGGCTCTTCAATAAGCGCAAGCACAGTTCTGCGGTGTAAACGGAATACGACCCGCACCGATGAACGATAATCGTCCACTAATCGGCGAGAGGACTGCCGTCTGCGTCAATTTCGTCGCGAGGGGAATAAGAGTGAAGTTTGATTAGAGACGAAGAGTGCGTTTTGAGGCGATTGGCTGTTGGTTTAGATAGCAGGGTGGGGGGAGGGGGGTACAAGTGATAGGGAGCGGTAGACCATGATTGCAATGTGAGCGACCTTCCGAGTTCAGCTATTCCATCACCAGCACCAAGCTACACTGTTTTGCTGCCTCGCCATGTTTTTGGCGCGTCCTACCTCCCTCCCTTGACCTATTCCGGTGCAGTAGAACATTGTGGGGTTCTGGGCCGAGGTATGATACGGAGCTGTGCTTGAAGGTTGCAGCGTGCGCATTTTGCAGCAGCCCGGCGAAGGTAGAGCGCGTCTCGGCGCTTGGCGCACGGTGCAATGCCATTTAGAGTGTCTGGTTGAAGTTGCGTTTTTTGCGCCGGTGGCAGAGCTTTTGTTGGTGTTTTGCCGTCGGTTCCTGTCAATCTTTAGTTTGCAGATCTGTGAAGTAATTCGTCATAAATCTCAACTCGGTTTTTGGCGGCCTTGAGAAATATGGATGCTTCCGAGCGTATTCCCGTGGAGGGTGTCCATGCTGAATCCATTTCAGCCAGTCAGGTTTGTACTAGTTGCATTTCTTCCTTTTGAGAATTTCGCCTCGTTGGTGGGAGATTTTTTGTAGCATTTTATTTCGGGCAGGTTTGCAGGAGATTCAGAGAGGTTGAAACACATAGTACTACACACTCAAGCTCTAGCTCTTTCGACGAGTGTGTCAAGTTTTCTGATCTAGAACCTCGAAATTATCCTGTAAGGTCATTTAAGAGGAGAAACTCATGATAATATGACATCAGAGATAGATGTTTTACCCTCTCTTTCGTGCAAGTCTATTCGCTGAGAATGCTGGAATAAGCAATTATTAGCAGTAACTTTATGTGGTAGAAGTGTCGCGGGTGTCGTATAGAACTCGTTTTGTCTGTTGCTAAGTATTTAGATCACGAAGTAGCTAAGCTGCAAACAATGTTGTTTCTGCAGTGAAACTCCTCATTGTTAAATATATTGCTTTTTAGCTATTGAGACAGCAGGTTCAGCCCTCAAAGACCAATGTAAAGTTTTCCATACCAGTCAACCAGATGACCCGGGGCACACTTCCTGAGGCCCGTCTTTTCATGTGATGTCTGTATGCTGAGGATTAGTTCCGCCGATTGATTGTTCACATTATTGCTACGTGTTAGAGAAGCAGGTGGCATTCTTTCTCGGTCTAATGCCCTTGATAATTGCATGGATCTACGCCGAGATACTGGATTTCAAGAAATTTCCAACCTCGACAAAAGGGTAAGTTCCACAGCTCCCGTACTTTTACCTGAAGCTTTTAGCGCGGAATTAGATCGAGATTAAGTAAATAGATGTCGAGATACACGAATCGAAACCCCTTACACTTGTTTCTTCTGATCAATTTAGCTGTCGTGAAAGGATTTTAAGGAAAGAGCCATTTACTTATTTTATATGTCCTTCGTGGTTAGCGACTTTCGTAGAGAAGTTGGAGGTTGAGTCAGATTTAACAAGGGTCGTTATAAAGGCAGCATCAAAGAGTGCTTAATATCGGCAAGGTTTGATTGTCATAGACATGATGATGTGGATCTCGAAGAGTTGAAAGATGGATCTATCAAGGATGAGGAGAAAGCTACCTTGCTTGAGAGTAGCCTTTCCGTGAGTGGAAGTTTTAGGTCTGGACCTGCTCCAGTGCGAACGTCTCTAATCAAGTACGCCACTCCTCACCGTATCTACGTTACATTCGTACGCAACTCTTCTGAAATCAAATTAAGATAATTTATGTTGAATCTGGGTTCTTCCGACCTGACATTTCTTGGTGCACTTGCAGATTTTTAACGTTGAATGAGACCTTTTTGGTGGAGAATCGTCTCACATTGAGGGCTATGTGAGGTTTCTCACATTTGCAGAGTCAATGTATTTCTTTGTTTATTAGTTCTTTTTAAGAAAATTTAAAAGAATCTCTCATTTTTCGGTGCTTGGTTCTGGACTCAATAGTAACGGGAGGAGGTGTTATTTATGGATAAGCGCGTGTTAACACTTTTTAATGAAGAATTGGCTCAACTGTTGTTCAGCTTAGATATAGCCCATCTCGGATTCTATTTACTTTCATGTAGCTCAGTTTTATTCAAACAATAAGAAAACTGAAACTAGCTAGGGTCTTTCCTTCTTTCTTTCATCTTCTTCTTCCTTACCTACTTATTTAAAGCATTATAGTAATGCTGTGTACTTTTCGTTTATTTGCAGCGCCGAATTCCTTGGCCTCCTCTGCTTCCTATACCTGTGTGATCGAACAAATATCTTTTCTGCATCTAGAAAGGTAATCGCCAATCAATGCAAAGGGCTTTGAGGTCCTATTTTATATCTGCTGTCATCTGCAAGCATGTAGAGGAGAAAGCGCACATCCACATTCTTGTAACATTCTGTTTAACAGTAATTCTCATGTGATGATGAAACCGGTTCTAAAATGTGTTGTGCAGCATTATAGTAGGGACCTGTTTCTCTTCTTGTATCTCTTGTTGGTTCTGGCGTCTGCCTTAACCTCTTTGAAGAAACACGTCGATAAATCGATTGCAACTGGAAAATCTATTCTGTACTTGAATCGACATCAAACGGAAGAATGGAAGGGCTGGATGCAGGTTTGCTTTATCTCATCCGTATCTGATAATTTGGAAGAAATAGTTCTAGATTGCATTTGCTCTCTGTACCTGTTTGTTGGGTATGTCAGCGTGTACTCAAAGGATCAAATCGTAGATCCCAACCTAGTTTAGGTATTTATGTTTTAGTTGTGTTTATTAGTTCCCTTTATTTGCTTATGTAATGAACGCAGAGTATTTTCACCGCCACCTTCGAGGATAATAAACTTGTACAAAGCATATTTGTTACATTCACTTCATTTGTTCTTCTGACATCGTTTGGATTTTTTTCGTGCAGGTCCTTTTCCTCATGTATCACTATTTCGAAGCTAAAGAGTTTTATAATGCCATTCGAGTTTTTATTGCTGCCTACGTTTGGATGACGGGGTTTGGCAACTTTTCTTACTATTACATTCGCAAAGACTTTAGCTTGGGCCGTTTTGCACAGGTATGTATGAGCGTCTTGAATATGATTAGTGGCGGTAATTTTGGTGCGGGTTGCACTGTTAGCCTGTTTTCGGAACTACGAATTCAAGTGTTCATGTACCTCCAGTTAATGTTTTTCAAAAATCGAAGGGGTACCTTAATAGTGCTTGATGATGTGACAGATGATGTGGCGGCTCAATTTTCTGGTCTTCTTTGCCTGTATAGTGCTGAACAATGACTACATGCTTTACTACATTTGTCCAATGCACACACTTTTCACTCTCTTGGTGTACGGGTGTCTTGGGATATATTCCAAGTACAATGAGGTGCCTTCTGTGATGTTTACAAAAATAGTTGTTTCATTTCTGGTGGTGGTTATCGTGTGGGAGATCCCTGGCGTTTTTGAACTTCTCTGGAGCCCTCTCACTTTTCTTCTCGGTACGTTCACCAAATTTAAGCATCAGCTTATCATACAACTTGTCATCCCATTGTTTCACGTTGTCTTTTTTGTGTTCATATGACTTGGTTCAAGCACTAAATGCCACTTAAATTGGTCCAATGTCATCTTTTTGTTTCTTCTGAATGATACTACGGTCTTTCAGCTTCAAAATATGATACCTAATTTCTTTGGAACCCTTGGGAATAAAATCTTTCTCCTTCAAAATCTGCGTGATGGTGAAATAGATTTTGATGGTGTATTTGAACTGTTAATGTGCATGATGGACTAGTTGTGCACCATTCATAAATTGTGATCCTTAATTTCATGGCAGTTTAATGATAACCTAGCGATAGTTGCTGAGTATTTTTACTTATTTTTGCAGCGTATCAAGATCCTTTATCAAAGCACCCCACTCCCTTGCTGCATGAATGGCACTTCAGATCAGGACTGGATCGATACATCTGGATTGTGGGCATGCTCTATGCGTATTTTCATCCTACGGTATTAACATTTGGACTTTTGTTTCGAAAGAAAAGACGTATAGTTATCGTTTGAGTTCGCAGCATGTTGTGTACTAAGTTTCTGGCATTCTTGTCATGACGTGATGGTGTGGCACTTCGCGCAGTTTCATAAGTGGGGAAGATTTGTAGTGAGGCTTATGAACTGATTGATTTAATATCGGCTTCCAAGAGATTGACAATCTTTATATGTTCGCAGGTAGAAAGGTGGCTTGAAAAGGTAGAGGAGATGGAGTACAAAAGAAGGACCTTTATCAAGTCTGCCGTTATATCTGCTACGATGCTGGTAAGTTTTTTTAGTTCTTGAGCAATTGCTTGCTTTGAAGTTAGTCAAAATGCAGAGCTCATTTATATTGTTTGTTCGTCTGGATGTTGTCGATCTAAAAGGTTGGATATGCTGATACTAGGTAGCAAATTCTCCCGCTGATAACCTTTGTGTATTTGCAACTGCAGATGGGTTATATGTGGTATGTTCACATTTACACTCTTGATAAGACTTCCTATAACAAGCTGCACCCTTACACGTCATGGATCCCTATCACGTACGCCCTTGATCTCACTTCTGTCGAGGATGATCCTCGTGGTTCCTGCTGTCTATTGTCAGTGTTGTATGTCCAAAATGATCTACAAAGATCAATGCGTTTGGGCTTTCGGTACAATATTTGCCGACCCTCGCGGGTGTCAGTTGTTCTTTTATCTTTCAAAACTTTTTAATTTCTTAAAATTAATTAACCAGATTTTCATATATTGATAAGATCGTTTTTACCTTGGAATTGGGTCCAGGGTGTACATTGTTCTACGAAATTTATCGCAGTCACTTCGCAACTATTCCCTCACCCTCTTTGCGTAAGTGTACCTCGGACGTTGTTGATACCTGTATTGCATGCACATGTTTCTTTGCATAATGTGTATAGATTGTTAGGCCGTCTGATTTAGTTTCTATAACACAGTATATTGTGCTTGATCATTTTGGAACATCCCAGTAAACTAGATTGCCAGCTATGAAACTTTCCTTTTTCAATGCAGATGGCTTGGGAAAATCACTTTGGAGACATATATCTCGCAATTTCACATATGGCTGAGGTGAGCAGATTTGAAAATTCCTGCAGCAATATTAAGGTCACAATTGAACTATTTATGTTACAGAAGTAAATTTGCCACATACTTGACACTGAGGATCATGGATAACATTCTCCAACCTACTAGCATGGGATTCTTTCGCCCTTATGAACCTAGTGTGGTAAATTTAGGAACCATTGAGTGTATTTTAATCAAGTCTCAGGCGTTTTTAATATTTTCGAGTTCCCTTCATTTTTTTAAACTAAAAGTATTGTCTTAAAACTTGAAACAATGTACGTACTCGTGTAGGTTGTTGTGATGAAAAAGTGACAAACGTTCTGAATATGTGACACATTTTGTTCCTTTCAGGACTGGTATCTCAAATGGACAACCAAAGCTGTTACTGTCCATTATTCAGGACTATCCATTGCTCAACTTCATGTTGACATCTGCCATCTATATCTTGGTAAGCATTTGCCAAGCTAGTTTGATATTTGAGATGTTATTTGATTAAGTAATCCTAGAACTTTTTGGTGTGTAATTGTTTAGTATCTAATATTTTGGTTACTCTTTGGCTTTAGGTATCTTACCGGTTTTTTGAGTTGACGAATCGCTTGAAAAATGCTTTTGTCCCTCACAAAGACAATTCGCGATTGTATCAAATGGCTACTGCTGGGGCTGTGTTATGTGTCAGCTTCTATCTTGTGGCTCAAACCACCATGAATCTCCCCTTTCCAGCATGTTCCTTCTGTATGGTCGACTTCATTATTAGTTTTCTGTTTTTTAATCGGTCGGGGTTTCTTCATATTAGTCTATTTTTGTAGTAAGCGTGATTCTTAGATTCGTGTGCATCACAATCTTTTTCCGTATTTGCAAGTCTGATATTTTCTTCCTATTCTGTTTACAGGGTTTGTAGGTGGAGGAAATCTGTAGTTAGACCCCTTCTTCATGATACCTCATCAGTATCTTGATTATTCTTACATTTTTAGCCTTCCACTTTTCTACAGTTGAGGCACATAAAAGTGCCCTTGTAATCGTTTCGAGTGAGCAGCATGACTTACAAGATCTATCAATTTTTCACCAGAAAGCTTCATGGTGGCAGATCCTAATTTTACATCTCTTCCCTTCCAACTTTTGTCATCAAGTTTTGCGGGAGATTCCTACATAATTTTGTTCGAAGTTCTTTAATTTAGTTTCCTCCACTCAGGAAGAGACCGCAGGTCATTGGTGGTCACACTGAGGTGTGGCAGTGGATAGTCCTGCATGGTGAAAGTGGTGACAACATCCTGAAACTGTCATATGTTTGCATCTATCTTCTTTCGATCTGTCCACAAATTTCCAAGAGTTCTTTCCTGCCTAAATGAATATGGGGACAGAAGTGCGAACTGAAATTGTTCATCAGTAGCAACTTGGGCTTGATACTGTATGGATTTCTTATACACGTTGCCTATGTATACGACTCCTGTTCACATGATAGCACGTATGTCCTCTTAAACTGGAGTGGAGCCCCTGGGTGACGGGGCTCTTTGATTAAAGCAATCCTGGTCCCACCAAAGCTAGGATAATAAGATCTCAAGACCTCATGCAAGTGCTCGTGCTAAAATGGTGACACGAACTCGGAAAATGGAATCGAAAGTTCTGTAATCTTCCTTCACTTATACTTCGGGTATTGGCCACTTATTGCTAAGCCTTAAGCCTTGTTAGAAATCTCAAGTAGACGCTGGACTCTGAGCCCACTCGATGGAGCTGACATTTGTAAACTGTCACCAAGGTTGCTTCATTTCGAAGAACACAGAAGCACGCAGCCACATCGGGAATGGAATTATCCTTACTGCTTGCACAATCGCCAGGGTAGTGCCAGCACAAGCTTTTACGCAATCAGTTTGTTATCCAATTGGGTATCCTTCAAATTGATGAGTTATATAAAGTGGGTGTTGCGGATGCCTCATGCGTGGAGCTTTATTCAACAAAGCCAAGGGTTGACACGTGGTCAAGCGAGAGGTGTTCAAGTGGAATGCACCACGTGGCTGTCGCACAAGACCTGTCCAACTAAGCTGGGAATCACCCCTGGCCAAGGCTAAGGTTTCAAGAGCACGGGTGGCCCTCTTCCCCGGATTATCTGATGTTCAGATTATAAGACCAGGAGGAGACGTTTTCCATGTTTGGATTGTGATTAAAGTATTGATTGTACAACAATATTTTTTTAGTGTTTAATCTATGTTTCAATTTCTGAGGGAGAAAGACTTGCACAGTTCACGATTGTAGAGAAACTTAATATTTTTGTGAGATTGCATGGCGACGTCTCTGCTGCGCCGTTCTGTTGCTGGCGCCAATTGTTATGGTGAGTCTAATACTGTTGTCTTCTTGAGATTGTTGGTGGTTTGCGTGTTTGGGATTCGCGTAGTTGAAAGTGGGCATCTGGAGTTTGCTGTGAGGCATAGTGTTTGTTTATATATATATATATATATATATATATATTTGCTCTGAGGGAGCGTCGCATATTGTTGAAGGGCGATGCGTGTGTTGGACTTGTTGGGCGAAATGCCTAAGATTTTGTGACGTTTGATAGAACGCGCATAGATTTTTATTTTATTTTATTTTATTTTATTTTTGTTGTTGTTGTTGGCTCATACCGCACGCTGAATGCAATTTTCACGTTAGTCTGAGCGGATGTGTCGACCTGCGTTTGAAGTCGCCGTTGTAGTTCCCAATCTACATCAATAGCAGTCGTTTGAATATGCGTGTCTTTGGATGACTGAGCTTTAAATGGCTTGTCAAGGTCTTCGTAATTGAAATTTTCAGTACTTTACCCTGTGCAGATTATCAGACCATGTTGCCCGATGTAGCTGCCTCAACGCGGCCTCGGTCTTTAGGAAACCAAGGATATGCATTTCCACACAATGCTGGTCGCTCAGAACTGTATAAATATCAGTCAAGTACCTGTATACCGCCTGCAACTTCTGGTTTGCGGCGAAAGGAGATGCGGAGCTGGGGTTCAATTCAGTTCGACCCTCTTCGTCATACCGTGACAAAGCAAATTTCCCAGAGGAAACTGTCGAGAGGGAAGGGTTTGGCATTTGCTGCCGCTTCAGAGAGTTCTGGTGACAGCTCGAAGAATGGAAAAGGAAGGCAAAGGACACGTGCTAAGGAAGATGTAGCAACTGTACGAGAGAAGATAAGCAATTACGTCGAGAAGAAATCAGGGTACTTCTGGCTTGGTGGACCGATCGTGGCCACTGCAGCAGTTTTCATTCCCCCTGCCATTGTTCCGATGGTTCAACTCCTGCAGAATAATTTTTGGGCTGGACTTTTCAGCACTTTCGGTCTCGACATACTCTTCGTCTTGGCAGCGGACTTGTTCTTCGTGTTGGCGGATAAAGCTGGTCATCATCAATCAATATCCGGTGGACCTTCACCATGGGTTGGTCCATGGGAGCAAATAGGTTACCCAAAGGGTGAGCCTGTTCTCACGAAGCTAGTCGCTTACGCCGGAGTGGCGCTTGGTGTCCTTGGGATTGTGATATCCTTCTTCATTGGAAAATTGGCAGTGGGCCTGCCAGCTTTTGCTTCCTACCTGGCCTTGATCTTCGCTCAGGTAATCCATCTACATTCTTCTCCACTCTTGCTTCAGTTTGCATAATTTTCAGATTGGTAAACTTTATCAGTTTCATGTCTTCACGATTATGTCTGCCATTTGAATTTGCAGCGTACTTGAATCTTTTGTATACAGTAATGTGTACAGTGGTTTCATCTGATAGCTGGATCTCGTAAGTCTTTTAACAATATTTGTAGAGAGACGAAACGTGTCCTCTGAAATTTGAAAGAGAAGTAATGTGATTTATTCCTTCAAATACAGGTTGCATACGAGAGACTGCTCAGCAATGACAAGGTGCCAGTGTATCCCCTCGTCCCCATTTTGTACACAGTGTACAGGTTTAAACAACTTGCAAGGGCCACTGAGCTTGTAGCAGTCATGGGAGGGGGAGCTCCTTTGCTCTTCATAGTGAAGGCTCTTACGGTTGTCTGGACGTTCTATCTGGGCATAACAGTGTCCCAGCTCCCCTGGTTATACTCAACATGGAATTCCAACAAAGCCACGTAGAATTCCAGCAAAGCACTGTCTCTGCAACCACCATGGCTCCGGGTAAAGTTTCCTCACCGACTGGTGACGAATGTTAAGGTGTGTGTCGTGAGATTTCGAGTTGTGGGTTTCTTGCCCATAATCTTACTGAGGCTGTATTGGCCAAAATCTTGTAATCAACTGATGGTATTTTTGGGCTGCTCTTTCCGGACCTAGGGCACGTACAGCCTCTCTCTCTCTCCCTGGCTTGGTGTATTTTAGTGGTCGTTGTGTAATTATCCTGAAAGATAGCAGATTTTAACTATTAGTTTCAGATTTGTATGCATTTCCTGTGCCAACTGTGTGTTTTGTATGTTCGTGGTGTCGATCTAAAAGTCTGAAATGTGTGGGTCATCAAATTCTACGGAATTGACACAATTGACTGAATGAATGGGTTTGACTATATATGGCAGTGTAACCGAAAACGCAAGTCGTCCAGATTTCGTGACGTTCTTGAGCGCTCAGAAAATTGTCGCACCTTTGCTTCTGTTTCCCACAGCGTCGTCTACTTCCACTTGTAGACCTTCCATTTTCTTCTGTTTTCTATAGACTCTACACCAGATCTATGCGTTTTTGGTATCACCCCTGAGTGGTAGCCTTTCAGTATTGTTGATCTTTGAGCCTGTGCAACATTGGGCTCCATTTTATTCATCAACTTTTCCTTCTACTGAAATCCTTCATCCAAGAACAAGCGTTTAGGTTCTGATAGCTAGCAAGTTCTGAAACATACCTTCTTTTCTTCTTTGAGAAGGGCACTATACCTGACACTACAGATTTGTATGATGTGCCCATGTAACCATCCCAGTATCACTAATTTGGATTTTGATCCAATCTTGATAGTAAAACAAAATTCTTAACCAAAGCTGCTTTGTTGCAAGTGTTTTTTTTACACTGCTTAAATGGTAGTGGCACTTGGCAACGCCATTGGAAGAAGAATGAAACTGCTGCTGGCGTTGCCTCATCGACAATTAATTAGCCTTGTTGTCAACGGGAGCTGGTGCAAGCTTTATTTAAGTTTGAATTATTTTCTAGAGAACAAATATCAGGCTTCCACATATGGATCCATTTGATAGATCAACTTAATACATGAAAAAACCTTTTGACCTTAAAAGTTCTACTAGTTCCCTTGACTCCACAATATATATTATGTTTCAAAATAATGAAAAAATTGTGTCATCATCATGTGTTATCTTTAAATGACTATAGTTTCTTTGCAGTAGCAATACCTTCTTAAAATCTATTGCATTATGATATATTTTTTGCATTCTATTCTATTTTGTAGAATTTCCATGCTTATATTGTGAAAGTTCTTAAAATCAAGTTTTTTTTTTTTTTTTTTTTTTTTTTTTTTTCCAGTTTTCGTTTTTTCATTTTAGTTTTAAAGATTTAAATGCTAAGATGTGCCAGTTTTCATTTTTCATTTTTCATTTTAGAAATTAAAAAATAAATAAATTCAATAATTTAAAATTTTCTATCATTTTTTTTTATTAAAAAGATGCAACAAGTATATAGTTTTTTTTACTTTTTTACTTTTTATTTTTTTACCTAAGATTTGATTGATTTTTAGAAATAGAATTTTTAAATGAAGTAGTAAAAAATCATGGAATTTGTATCCAAAATTTTTATTACTATATTAAAGACATTCACAATTAAGATAATTATATTTCTGAGGGGGGTTTCGATCCCCATACCTCTTGGCGATCGATATCCCCCTTCCAGCTCAGGGGAAGGGGGGGGTATCCATCCCATACCCCTCGTATGCTAAGCGAGCGTTAAAGCATCTGACCTCTGTCCCCTGTCCCCGCGGCTGCACCCCCACGGCCGCTGACCTCATCAGATGTTGTACTTATCACCGTGTGCTCTTTGTATCCCCATTTTCACCACACTCCAAAACCCCCGCCCCGTTCTCACCCCCCCCCCTTCCATTCCCCCCACACTCCTCCCTGCCCCCTCTCATCTCAACCTGTGTGAATTAATTCACGAACTTATATAGGTTTATTATGACTAAGCTCAGTAATAAGTTAATAACCTTAAATTATTTGGTCTTTTAAACTAATATATCAAAAAAAATATAGGAATTAAAAATAATAAGTTTATAAATATGTGAAAGTAAAATGTAAAAAAGTAAATGATCTTTCTTGTAAACTTACATCAGAATAAATACCATCATTAAATGAAAATTGAAGCATGTTTTTAGATGATGTTACCATAACAAAAGCGTATCAAAATTAAAATATTATTAGAACCTTAATTTCTGAATGGACGATTTTCAATTTAATTACAATTATAAATAATTAAAAAAACATAAAAAATAAAATTAGGATTTCATAATAAAGGTACTAACTATTATCTTATAAAACTCATATAACTAACATTTGAATGAGTAACTCCTACTTCTTACTAATTTCGTCTGTTATTTTTCACATTTTATTAAAAATAAAAAAGTAAGAAAAAGTAAAAACTAATTTACCTATTTATGATTATTAATTAATTCACGAACTTATATAGGTTTAGCATATTATTGTATTTTAGCCAATAAAAAAAATAAAAAATAAAAATCATGATGCAAATAACAATGTTCAAGTTGAACTTGTTTTAAATATTCCACACCATAATATAGTGTATGAAAATTTTAACATAATTCAAAAGGGTGAAAAAACATACCAAAATATAATAATGTGCAAAAGTATGTCGCTTCACCAAAGAAGCTCCAATTACCAAAAAAAACAAGTTGAAATCTCATATTAAAATCAGATTTGTCAGAACTGTGTCAATTGAGGATTGATACTTGTGTTTAGTATGGACTCCACATGAACAACAAATGAATCACATAAATTGTGGATGAAGGGAAATAGAGGAGAGCAGAAGAGATCAGGGCATTATTATTCTTGGTCAGAATCCTAGTTTATATAGTGCGGTTACAATTGACATTATAATTTTAGGTTCTCCCTCTTCTTAATGGTGATTTATCTGTGTTTTATTGGAATTATGTACAGATTTCAGAGTTTGTTGGTGGAAATACCATTGGGTCTTGTTGAGTGAAATGCTCACATACACCTCAAAGCTTCATTGCATCAACAAGATTACCAATAAAGTGTGATACCTGAACATTTTTGTACTGCTTGTAAAGTACTGCAATAGTTAGCTCCAAGGCCTACTTTCCATGAGTCATGCACTAATATTAAAAATACTTTCTATATGTAGCAATGACTGATGTTTATGTCAACAATGTGCTGAGTTGGTTGGCAGAGATTACTGCACCCAGAGTCTATTTGTGCCAAACATCAATTTATGGTTTTGTTGAGCTGGAGTTGTAGATCATGGCATCCTTTGCCTTCTCGCAGAGAAACGTATTCATCAAGGAAAGATCTGGTCTGTTGCTTGACACCAGTGGCCAGCTTAAGAGAGACCTGGTCTTCTTACTTTGCAGTCCCATCAAGTCTTCATATCCATCCTCCTCATTTTGATCATTCAAGAGACTGTCTGTGGTGAATAAGTCACTGAAGCAGATAAGAGATTCACTCTGTATGCTGTCATACTATTATACCACGTACCCTTATCGTTGATTCATGCTATGTTATTTTATTGGATAGAGTTGAAGTAAAATTCAAATGATTGTGGATAGAACATAGTTCAGGCGCGTAACTATTGAGATGAGATGTAGTAATGACAGCAAAACACTTTTAATGATGTGAATTTAAGAGGTCTGAAAAGGAGAGATTGCAATATTCTTACCTACGAGAGGATCCAAAGAGATAGATGAAGCCTCCACAATTTGAGTTATGAGAGCTCGTACCGCTCTAGTCTTGGCCTGTATTTCTGCTTCTTCTCTCACACGATTTCTCGGCTTCCGTAATGATCTTGGTTGACTCAACCACTTGATGGACGACTTCACAGCCTCTGCTTCTTTTTCTTCTTGAAATTCTCTATAATCTCTACTATCTGGGTCTAAGCGAGCTGGTGCCGTAGCTTCCAGTGCATTCTCGTCGTTTCCCCATGCCCTAGACGTCCTGGAAGCTCTTCTAGTAGACAAGCTATTCGTCTGGGGAAACTCAGAAACAAGAGCAGCATTGTATGAATTTTGAACATCTTTTATTTGCAGATTGCCTGTGTTACTCCAAAAATCCTCTTTCAAAAAGGTTTCGAGCGAAGCATCACAAGGCACACAATCGCTTTCATCCAACTGCGTCATCCCACTTATCCGTGGCGCAAGCACTGAGGATTCGCCAAGTACTGCTGTGGTAGTCCTCTCAGATTCTAACGAGCTTGTGACCACGACAGCCTTAGAATCGGTTGATGGGAGATTCAATCTAGCACGAAATCTGTGATAATGTTGCTTCTTTAAGTGCTCCGGCCTTATAAATGTCCAGGACGTAAATTCATCACATCCGGTGAGGTCAGGCTTCAGGGATTCCGAGAAGCTCGTATCGCTCGATGCAGTATATTTAGTAAGGTTACGCTGAGAATCTAGAGTGTAAAAAGGCACTTGCAGCTCTTGGAAGATATCTTTCGGAGGTTTGTATGCTACTAATTTAGTTTTCGAACTTGGATATTTTCCATTATACAGATGCAAGTTTGCAGGCATTTCGAAGCATCTTGTATTCAGTACAGGATTTGATCGTCCAAGCATGTAGCCATCGGTCCCAGCAACTGACATTACTCCCATCCTAACAAACAGTAATAATTTGCGTGAAGAAATGCATTTTTGGAATATCAGATGAAACCAGCATGCGCTGTCGCCTATTTTCAATTTTCCAACAGAGATCGTACCAGGAAAAAATCACAGCAGGTGTATGAAGAAAGGTAGGTGCTAACCCTTCACAAAACCAGCAGGGCTCGTTGGAGTAAGGGCTTTTCTCAGTGAATAAATCCATATGCAAACCTGACCCCTTACATCGTGGACACTTCGATCGCTTGCAATCAGTCTTGCGGAATATCTCAGTGACATTGTTTGCAAAAGAACGGGCCGATTCAAGCTGCATACCAGTTGTATAACAGAATAATCATCTGATCGTTCAACGTCTGGAATGAGAGTGAAGTTTGACAAAGATTCCAAATTCTGTATTAGCAGGGCATCGAGGTGACTGCAGGCTAGGAAGTCCAATTACTCTGTACGCGTGAAATAAGATAATTATGATGATGGCTTTACACGACAACTCATGTAATATGAACCCCTCTGCTGTAGCTGGAGCTACGATGACTGTACATTTCCTGATACCCTAAACCAATAATTAGAGACAAAGGAAGTTACCAGCAATCCCATACCGCTCCAGAGTAATCAAACTTTACTTCCCGTTTCTGTTCATGATAAAAGCAGCAAAATGAACACTAAAAGAACAGTTTGAATAACACCTTACTACAGAAATCCAGCCTTGAGCTTAAAGGTGATCACGCAAAATATATTCTCGAAATTCAGTTCAAGTTTGAGAAACAAGCAGCAAGATGGACGATGAAATATACTCCACAAAGTCTGACGACCTCTTCAAAAAACTGAAAGATTCTCGAGAGTTCACAATGAAAACAGCACTCAACCATTCCCCACGACTATGTGTAAGAAAGTGCATGAGATACATTTCATGATTGAAAACTACTCGCTTCCAAAGAAGATTTTGAATCGGTTGTGTGCGAAGAGCACTCTCGCTACGAGGGAACATAATCAAAACCTACAATCGTTAGAGAGAGAGATTTAGAGCTCACAATGGTTGCAAAAGACAAGCAACTTGCGCAGGAGAGAATAGCCAGCATAAATTTCCTCGATCACAACAGTTACCAATCTCCGTTCTCTGGACAAAAAAAACACGCTCAATTCCAAATTCACCAGGCAGTGCACCGTAACTGAAAACAGAAGTGGGAGACCCTGACGCCACGCACTTTCTGTGTGGCAGCTTTCGGAGCTTTGGCGTGCCAAGAACTTTCATGAAAAATGCTTCGAAGCGGTACCTGGAGCAAGAGCAGTGGAAATCCTTGGCGTTAATTTGGAATCTTACAATGAACAATGCGCAAATTTGCGATCGGAGGCGCGGAAATGTGGCGGGGCAATCAAACGTGTGCCTCTGCTATCCATTCGCAGCAACATGCGGCCTTTTCTCGCCGATGTAAGTGAGACACGTTCGGTGCCAGATGGTTCCGATCCGGCTCGACATTTCAAAAGGTCTTCCTCCATAATTCTCCTCCGACATTTCAAACGAAGAGAAACAAACAACAACGCGACCATTTCTTTCGTTGTTTCTACCATTCTATGAAAGCCAACATGTATGCACTTTGGATCACTATCTGGAGTTGTTCCGGGGTTCTTAACCGGCATTGTATCGAGCCTTGAATAACTGGCTTCGTGGTTTATTATCTGCAAGCAGCGCTTCTCGCAGGTGTGTTTCTGTGTTGTACTCGGGTGTTAGTGAGGAGTTTGAATCTAAGACGAGTGTATTGAACAACTTTTAGATAGATATCTTCGCTCTTTTCATACGCCGAACGGAAAACTAATCCTCAGTAAAGAAATTTCTCCTACTATTGTATGAGTGAATTCAGTGAGAATTTCGCAACATTTCACGATTTGAATCCTGATTTGTGTGCTTCGTGTGCAACAAGATAACAATATTTATTGAAAATTTTCAATAGTATCATCCGCCAACAAGTTCAAATTCGGTTCCAAATCAGTTTCACGTAACTTTCTCATAAGTTGTGACATTTGTAGTATACTCCAGAGCAAGCAAATCTAGCATGATAAAAATAAGAAATAAAACTATGATTTAAGACTGTGATTGACGAGGAGGAACTCGTAGGGTGCTCTTGAGGCTGTCATATGTGGCGAAACCAATTGCCGCAGAAGGAACCAGCTGCAAACATCAGATTGGTAACGTCAGTTGTGAAACGCTACAAATCACCACCATCGTCAACAGCATATGTGCAAAATGCGCAAACATACAACCAGTACAAGAAATCTCGCATGAAATACTAGGAGAAGTAATGCACTCACTTTCATGTAGTTGATACCAAGTCCAGCAAACAACTGCCTCCATCCTTGGCCACGAGCAATGGTGACAAGAGCGTCAAGAGTCCCTTTGTACCGAGCACCTACTAATGCGTTCTCGGATTGCACCTGCATTTGGCGCCGGACAACGTCCAGGGGATATGTCACAGTCTGACCTAAAATACCAGCAACAGCTCCACAAGCAAGCTTTGCAGGTAAGGATGACCGAGAGTCTTCGGGCAAGTGCCGTTTCATTGTTTCATACACATAGAATTTCAATCCTGCATATGGAAGTATTCCCCACATTGTGGGACCTGCACACCACCCCCAAAATGCACGTTCTGTTCAAATTTGGTTTACATGGAGATCTCTTACCACACGACGAAAGGGCAAAATGAAATCTCCCAATGCTAAGTGTTTGTGGGTTCATTTGAAACAAGACTTCGGCAACAAGGATAAGAACTAAATGTTTGTCATGTTGCACTTACAGACTCCGCGGTACAAGCCCCGAACTCCACCCTCCTGGAAGACCCTTGTGCATACATCCGCAATGCCTTTATACGGTGCTGGAAGAACATGACCGAACGATGATTTGTTTCCCAAACTATTGACCTGGAGACCACAGAATGCTGTGAGAATAAGATCTGGAAAAATAAGACCCCACACTGGAATTCTGATTGTAATCAAAGCCTCTACAGCATTCAACAACTTAAATGGAGATCACACCAGCGTAGGTTTACTCTCTAAAAGGACGTGGAGTTGTAAGAAATCAACCGGAAAACCAGATAACATAAGAATGAGCGCATTGATTTAACTCACTTGATAAGCTAGGCGAGTCCTGGCAAGATCCAGTGGGTATGTGCACAAAACTGCAGTTCCTCCGGCCAAAGAACCAGCTACAAGATCAATCACAGGTCCGGTTCCTGTAGCAGGACATCCCTCTATTATCCAATGACGGTACTGCTCATACGAGGCAAAATGGAGTGCCGCGTAAGGGACAATTCTAAGAACACTAGCTCCATTTCCTCTGCAAATAGTGGCAATATAGTGTAGTGTTAGAAACTAGGGTTGGTAAACATCCTTCAGCACAAGAACTAAGAGAAGATCATCGAGTCACAAGACGGATCTGCCTCGTGATCTTAACAGAAGCGGCAAAACCGTTGAAAACTGCTTGCTTGATCAACATGATCAGAGTACAATTGACAAAGATATGGGTCAGGGATTTACTTGTATAAACCGCGAAAGCCTTCTGTTCTAGTAATGCAGGAAAGAGATCGAAATACTCCCATAGATTGAAAGTTCCCATGCTTGATCTGCAAAGCCCAAAGTTCCGTCAGAAACTTGCAACCATGCCAAAATCCTTTGATTGTAAAAAGAAAAAACAAAACAAAATGGGAATCCCCAGACACATGATGGCAACTTAATGCACTTGTCAAGCTTGTTCGGCGGATTGTAGTATTTGGGGATATGGACGTTAATTTTTGAATTAGAGAAGGAACATCAACCTGGTAGAGAATCTTGATACGTTCCAAAGGGGCTACAGCAGTCTTGGATAGACCGCCAGCGACACCTCCGGCAACAAGCTGCTTGACGTAAGTGGGAGTAGCTCCGAGTACGGCATCTTGGAATGACGCCCTCTCCGCCTCAAACTTTGGAGCTGCACTAACTAGGGTTGGAGCTAGAAAGTAACCTGATTGCTGCGTATTCATTGTGTAATTTGTTTCGCGAATTTTTCGATTTGAATGGAGAAGAGAGAAAAAGAAAAAGAAAAAGAAAAAAACGTCAATCCGCTTCTAACAGTCTGACGGGTATTAGGCGTAAGAAATCTGTAAGAACATTTACGTCACTCAAGCGTTGACGCCGTGGCTGGTTTGAATCAAATATTAAGTTCACAGTTGTAGAATTGGAAATCGAAATGGGCTTCGTCGGCCCCGCGTTTCGTGTAGACTTTCATGTAACTGCGAAAAACACCTGCTTCCTGTCTCTGAATGTCTCCGAATCAACCAGGTTCCTTCACGAAGCAAATGTTCAGGCGCAAACTGTGATCAGAGCGCCTGCACACGCCCTCGCCAGCGATTATCAGCATTAAAAATCCACCCTCCCGCTCCGAGAGCCCAACAGCGGGGGTGTCTTCCTCGGTCATCCACTTGTAGGATTCAACCCCAACAAGGGCTGAACCGCCAAAATCTGATGAACCCAGTTTACAAGTTCTTCAAACGAGTGAGACAAGCTCGTCTTGCACCGCACTCTCACGAGTTTACGAAACTCAACACATGGAGCTTGAACACAGTCTAACAAGTAACTTATCAATTCGGCTTTCAATTACATAGCCCGCTAACGGCCTCCTGTCAAAAATACGAGCACTCCCTTAGCCGCTTCTTGCTCAATCGTCGGTTTTGATGTTTATACAAAAAGAACGCTCACTCCTGTTCCAACCGCCACCAACATCATCACCTCCAAGAAACACTATGCAACACACCAGATTGCTCTGTCCTTCTCCCGACCGCTTATTACTCTCTAATGTGACCCCACTACACAACTTCTACATTTCTCGACCGCCCTGCGCTTGTATCCCACCACACGCCAACTTGACAATTCATGCACATGGATATTTGTCCAAACCCCACCACCCCACCGAAAATACTAATCAAGGGGGACGGAAGCGTTGTTGGCGCATGGAACGGATCAATTAGGTACCGTTTACGGGTAAATGCGATGGGAATGCATGAACACGCAACTTATTGCAGTTCTCGGCTTCGAATTGCCTGAAATTAGAGATAGGACTGCTGCTAAAACTTGAACACAAAGTGGGTGTGCGGGGTCCACTTCACACCCACAGCAACCCAAGCATTAGAAAACCCTCCAACAAAGCGACGTCCTTTTTTTTTATAATTTGTGATCGCCTTTAATTAAGGAGTGGTGGCACTAATTTAAAGGGGGGGGGGGGGGGGGGGGGGCAATCTATAGCGATGCAAACCGTGGATGCAGTCTTCTTCTCCTGCCGATGTTTTCGCGTCAGGAATCACAAGGGCCCCACTGCATTCAGTTTTTGATGGTAAATCAAAAGTCAAGTGACACATGAATACGTGTGTGGGCTTGGAACACTGAAGAAAGCCTCACGTCTCACGATCCTTTGGCCTTGTGCTTTCTAAGGCTCTCATTCAAGCCCTTCGAGAAGGCTGGCCTCTATCAGCAACTCACGGCCATGCAGGTGGAGGGATTACACACCCTGCAAGAGCTACCCTTACAGGTCGAATCCCGATCTTCCCATGTTCGATTTCGTCTTCACTTGCTTCAAAGATATCAAAAACACAAAACCCACCCATCGTTCTTCACGCTGCGATGTTTCTCACTTGCAGTCCCACAATTGTCTTCTCACTCAGATTGCGAGGGTCAGTTTCTGTTGATTTCTTTTTTTTGTTCCTATTATTGTTCATATGTTGAAGTGCACATGATCGTCAGGTTTTCGGTATTGCGAAACATTGCAAGAAACTAACAGCCTTGGCATGAATCTCCTCCATATCTTCGAGAAAATCGCAACCCCACTTCGGGAATTGACTGTTTCAAACTTGGGTCCTCCGTCAAAACGCAAGATTCATCGTTGTGTTTGCAGTTCTGTGGGATCGGGGTACTCGAACTGCGAAGACGGGTATAGGGGGGTCTATCTTGCTTGACGGCGAGACGGGTATAGGAGTCTCTAGGGGTGGTCTTAGGAACGGAATGAACGAGAAAAGCAACAATGGATTAATGAAAAGAACAACACCGTGGAGCATTGGGAGGGCCACGTGTCCTCTCCACAACTATGATTCCGCGGTGCGGTGCAGGTGGACTTTGAACTGAAGGTACTGTCTGAGAATGTGTGGTCATCGGTGCCCGCTTGATGATGGCCGTGGTAGGTAGGAACATGAAGGGCACCATGTGGACAGAATTCGTGGAAGAATATGGCTTGGTCCTTCTGACCTTCGAGGTCTCCTCTACTGTTCCAACGTGGAAAACATCCTCCTCAGAATCGTTACGCACTAACGTAAATGTATTTTTGTTTATATAACATCTGAATACGTATAATGGTGGTACAAATTTTAGCCCAAGTAACCTTAGAAAAACTACCTTGTGCGTGTACACAAAAATATGATGTATAATTAGTTTGAAGTCTCATGTGAAGAATGCCATTTGGAGTACAAAAGAGTGAAATAAATGTAATGTTGGGCCATGTCTTTGTGCAATAGTATGATTGGTTTGAATCTTTTTATGATAATGTTAGAATAGAGATGTGATTGACCTGTGTATGTGAGTAAGTATGACATCTTCAAAGGGTAAATTTTAGTTTGTTTCAAACTGCATTCTGTATTCTGAAAAATATTATAATGTGTATTAATAGATACATTCAAGTAATAATCTTATTTTGAATTTTAAATTTTGGAGGCATGCTATGGGTGACAATAGAAAATCAAATTTTTTACTTATATAAATATAAGAATATACAGTGGTTTGTTTCAATTTCAACATAAGAAACAATGAAATAAAAAATTCAGGCCTTGTTGGCTCAAACCAAGTAACAATTTCTTATATAGAATAGATGAGGTTTTGGTTACATAAATCAAATAACCCTCAGTAAAAAATGTAACACAAGTAAAAAATTAAGTTGAAACAATATTTATTTTCATTGAAGTGTGTTTCATAAATGCAATTGATTGACTATATTATTGATAGTAATAAAGTTGAATAAATAGAAATTCTGACCTACTGATGTTTTTAACAAAAATAAAAAATGTGTCTCATGTTAGACAACTTAGTTAACAAATAAGATTTAGCAATGTGTATTTATTATTCTAAATTTATTACAAATATATTAGTAATTCTATGATAATTTGTTAGATGATGGTAAGATTTAAACATGTCAAAGATATTTTTACAATTTATAATTTTTTATTTTTTATTTTTTGAATCTTTTGAATTTTATTTAATTAATAATTCATATTTTTACATATAAATTTTTTAAAAATAATTGATAAGATTTAGGCAGAAAATGAGAATCTTGCATAATTACCTGATTATACATACACCAGAAAAAAATGAGATTGTTAAGCAAGCTAAAGATTAAAGTCACTTGATTGTTCTTCTTACACTTACTTTGAAATAATAATATTAGGATGTAAAATAAGTTGTTAATTCATCATCTTAATTATTTCATCAAATTTATAATAATAATAATAATAGATTATAGTAATTGATGGTAATTTAGATTTGAAAATTTGAAATATAACCAAAATTTGACTTTTAAATTTAAAAGTAAAATCCAAAAAAAAATAAATTCTATTAGAATCTTAAAAAAATTAAAATGTATAATAGACATAATTTTTTTATAAGTTTAGTAAAATAGAATAAAATAAATAAATAAATTATAAATAAATATTTTTAAAAATAATCAATTAATTAAAGGAGTTTTTAAATTTAAGAAAGAAATTATAATTAAAAAAAGTTACAACTTTCAAAACATGTGATTGTGTGAAATCAATACATCTTTTGTCAAGGATATGAATCTCAAAAAACCAAAGGATCAATACACACTTGTGTCATTCAAAAATAATAGATAATTCCTCAAAGATGGTATAATATTAAACTGAAATGACTATTATCCAAGACAAAAAAAACTAGAGTCCCTTCAAACAAGATTAGGAACAAGAAATATGTTGACAAGAGTGAAGAAGGCTTCACTCTTGCTTCCATATATGCTATCTAACTAGGAGCTATGTAGCAACATTCTACATGACCTCTAATATATGTCCAACTTGCAAGATATGTGTTTAACTTGTAAAACAAGTTTCTTACATGTGTGCCACATGGTTAACTTGTACCACAAGTTATCTACATGTGCAACACATCACTAACTTGTTGGTCAAGTTTATAATCTATTAATTAACCAAAAACACTTATAAAATCAAATCTATGTATATGAAGCTTCTAAAAAGCTGTACCACAAGATATTACCAAATCTACTTATATTTACTTTTTACTTAACACTTTTTATCTAGGTAATTTATATATATTTGTGATATCATTTATGTTTGGTTTTATATTTTAAAAATATAGTCAAGAAATTATGATATAAGAAAGTTCAATAAATTATAATTTTTTTTTATATGTTATGAATAGATTTTAAATTTTTTTTAAAAATTAAATTCTTCTTAAAAAAATTAAAAATACATAATAAATCATAAAAGTATACATAATTAATTTGGTCTATTTCATGGCTTCTTCTAAGTGTAGATTATTTAAAAACAAAGAATTGCATGTAAAGTATCTAAAAATTTAAACTTTTAAAATATAATTTTTTTTCATGAAGTTTGGAAACTTTAAAAAAAATTTGGCCATAACTCTTTAAAATGGGTCCTATAAAATGGGTCCTAATAATGCCACAACAATTTTTGCTACAACCACCACTACTCTATATAAATTTCAATTATATTTTAATCAAAATTTTCTTTTTTTCATTTCCACCACATCCCAAATTTTGAATTTCCTTGTAATTTTATCTCTACAAATCCAGATGACTTCTCTGATTTAGATTTTTTATTTTTTATTTATTTTTTTATTCCTTTAATTCTAATCATCATCAACTGCTATTACTTAATTTTAATTTTTACACTTAGTTCATGAAGTTTTTCAAGTAGCTTCTTCAACTCTCATTTGCATGCCTATTCATGAAAGCAACATTGTATTATAGCTTTACATGGAACATGATCAGAGTTTAATCAATACTCACTGATTTTTCACTACACAAGTGGCAGAATTTCCAGCAAGTGAGCCCTTTTTTTATTTATTTATTTATTTTTTGTAAGCTTAAGTCACCTCTCATGGTGGCCCTTAGCAACCCTCCACCACCTTCACGTATCCACACATTACTAACCAATGTAATATAACTGAGGGTATTTGCTAAACCTCGCCCTAAGACCACATGTAGAATGTACATCTGAATTTCTCAAATGGTATTGAAAGAATTCACATGATTCATTTTCTTATTATTTTAGTAGAGCTTGTTTTCACATATACTTTGTATGGCATCTTATTCACACAAATGCTGCTCAGAAGATGAAATGGGAGGCAAGGATCCATTGCTGATCATGCCATATCATTGATGAACACAACATTGATAGGCAGAGACATGTGAAACCTTAACTTTTCACCTAAACCCCTAAACCTGAAAAACAAATCTTGAATGTATGAGATAAGTGGTTAAATCTACAAACTAATGTAATAAAGATTTATAACAAGTAAATTATAATATTTCTAAGTAAATTATTACTTTTAGCAATAACTGATGTTTCTTTATATATGAAGTTAAAATTTTAACAATAATTAATAATAGAGATATATATAATTTTATCTAGTCTGTAACTAATGTATGTAAACTGATAAATACCTGTTAATAATTAAAACTTTTTAAAGAATAGAGTATATATATATATATATATATCCATCTATTTTAAAGCAATGGATTGCTATTTTTATTTTTTATTTTTATTTTTTTGTAAAAAATAGAATAGCGATTGATATTCTTATAAGGATTCTAAAATAGATTAGATATTTATGAGCATACTGATAATAGATTTTAAAATTTTAAATATTTTTTAAATATCCTTGTTTATTGCATACAATTAGTCCACCAATTAATTAATAAAATTAGATAAAATTGTTTTACATTACCTTTAGTTTTCTAATTATTAGTACTTATGCAAGAGTTAGTGCTTTAAGTCCTACTTTCAGTAGTTTAATAGAAGAGATCCAAATTGATTCTTAGATGTATTAGATAATTAATGTTGATCAATAATAAATATTCCATGTATCCACATTAGGCACCTTATTATGTACCATTTGCTTGTCTAAGACTACTATTTTGGACCTATAATAAATATGATATCTAGATATGCTGCACAATTATTTCTTTCCATGGCTGTAAAATTTCTAGTTATTAAAAAAGATATTGAACTGTATAATAGAAGATTAATTGATTACAATATGTATACAAAATATAAGATTTAAAAAATAAGAAAAATTTTCTTTGAAAAATAAATATTATTTCCAAAATATATTTTTTAATTTTCTTAAATTTGGTATTAGAGTTATAGTTGATTAGATTTGGTAGTATATTTAATGTTAAGATTACAGCCAATAGTAGACCAATAGATCTTTGAGATGAAATAAGTTTCTAGTTACAATTTTGTAGTGCTTCTTTGCATAATGATTCTATCACCAATGGTTTTATTATTATTTGAAGTTTTATTTTAAAATTTAATTTAATTAATTAATTTTTTTGATTCTTAAATAATTTTTTAGCTACAACTTTTTGGTGATTAATTTTTAATGTTAACCTTATCAATGTATCTACATATGTTTATTTTTTTTTATTTTTTATTTTTTAATTAAATTTTGAATTGATTTATAAATCTCTATTAAAATTATTTTTATATATAAATATATGGATATATTTATAGTGTGTGTATATGTGTCTTTATATATATATATATATATATATATTGTTGTTGTTGTTGTTGTTTTTTTTTTTTTTTTTTTTTTTAACATAGTGTCTTTTAATTGATTTGAAGATGGAAGAAAAATTATGAAATATGATCACTACAGTGTGTGGACAAAGATAAGAAAAAAATTATTAAAAAATATTTGAAGATTGACCTTAATTTTATTAAAATTATTTTTGCTGTTTTTTACTTAGTTAATTAATTAATTAATTTTAAATGGTATAAAGTCAAAAATGAAAAGATAATTTTTTGTGGATGTTCTTGTTTTGGCTTTTAAGAAGATTCCCTAAATTTCAATTTATGGAAAATTTTGTAATAGTTTTGATTGAATTATGAAATTTTAATTTCTTTCAAGCTTGTAATATAATATTTTTTGTTTTAATTTCTAAAAATAATCTCTGAATTGCCTTGTGAACCTATAAACATTTAGTCATGTTTTATTTTTTTAATTTTCTTGATTCTGTTTTTAGAAGATATGTATGCATTTCAATTTGCATAAAATTTCATCATCTTTATTTTAGTATGTATTTGTATTTATATTTAAAAGTTGCATCTTATTTTAAAACATATCAAAGATGTTATTTTTATTTCTTTAGTTTTATTATTCACTTGGTTCAATTCTCATATTAAATTTTATAGGTTTCAATGGTCATAAGTAATTTATTCTGATATTAAC